AATTAAAAAGATGGTTCATGAGTTGACATATGTCAACTGGATGATGGATATACATCAGGGTTCATTATACAATATTTTGAATGTGTTTGAAATTTTCTAATTAGAAAAATGTTTAAAGCCCTTTGCCTTGTGTCATTCTATCAAAACAGGCTGATGACAGCCAGGAGCCTGTAGGTGCTGGGTAAATATTTCCCAGGGAGTGCCAACATCTGGCCCCATTTACCCCACACTTGTTCCTGGCCTCTAGCATCCTGCGGAGGACTGAGCTCATGATTTCACTATAATATCCAGTGTTCTCAGTTACAAAACTCCCTCCTCTCCTCTTCCAGCACCAGGTGTCAGATTAAATCTCACCTTTACTCTCCCAGAAAGACACAACTTAAGTCAACTTCTGCCCACCGGGGACTGTAGAATAGCCCCAGCTGGAGGCTGTGGGGCTGATTACTCACGCCATGACTTGCTTTTCCCTTTGGCAAATTGGATTTGACCAATTCTGGAACGGGCTTGCCCTGGCTTCAATGATTTTGCTGGAGTTCCAGACTGGCTTAAGGCCCAGCCCTAAGGCCCAGCTGGCTGCTGAGGGGCCAGGGCCAGTAGGGAAGCCTGGAGTTGGACAAATGCCCCTGCTGCAGTAATAATACATGACCAGAACGTGGGAGTCTGGTCATAACAGATTATCTTGTGGGCTGGACCTCTGCTGGGGAGGCTGGGGCAGGTGGGGAGATAGGCAGAAATGACTCCTTTCTCGTCGAATGCTTTCCAGATGTTAGCACGGTCCTAGATAGTTTAATTCTCACCGTAACCCTATGAGGCTGGTACTGTTGTCCTATTTTAGAGATGGACAAAATGAAGGCTAGAGATTAAGCCACTTGGTCCAGCTGGTAAGCAACAGACCGAGAATTTGAATCTGGGTGGGCTGGCTGAGCATGGGTCAGCAAACTTTATTAAAAGGCCACATAAAAATAATTGTACAACAATTTGTATATAAAGCTTGATTAAAACCTATTTTGAAAAAATTTTAATGACCACATAAATCCAAGCTAAATGAAATCACTATACTGAAGAGATATCTGCGCCCCCATGTTCACTGCAGCACTATTCACAACGGTCAAGACGTGGAAACAACCTAAATGTCCATCGATGGATGACTGGGTAAAGAAGAATAGATAGATGATGATAGATGATGATAAATGATAGATAGATAGATAGATAGATAGATAGATAGATAGATAGATAGATAGATAGATATAGATAGATATGAATATTATTCAGCCATAAGAAAAAAAGAAATCCTACTGTTTGCAAAAACCTGAATGGAAGTTGAGGGCATTATGCTAAGTGAAATAAGTCAGACAGAAAAAGGCAAATACTGTATGATTTCATTTACATGTTGCATCTAAAAAAAAAGAAAATCAACTCATAGAAACAGAGAGTAGAATGGTGGTTGCCAGGGCCTGGGCGATGCTGGCCAAAGGGTACAAACTTCTAGTCATAAGATAAATAAGTTAAATAAGTTCTGAGAATCTAATGAACAGCTTGGTGACTATAGTTAACAATACTGTATTATATGCTTAAAGGTTGCTAAGAGAGTAGATCTTGAAAGTTCTCACCACACAAACAAAAAGGTAACTATGTGAGGAAAAAATGTGTTAACTAATCTTATCGTGGTAAACATTTTGCAGTATGTACATGTATCAAATCAACTCATTGTATACCTTAAACTTACACAATGTTATAGCTCAATAAGCTGGGGGAAAGGAAGAAGTCACACAGTAAATATTTTCAGTTTTGCAGACTAAAAGGTCTCTGTCAAAACAACTGAATTCTGCTGTTAGAGCATGAAAACAGTCATAGGCAATATATAAACAAATGGGAAAAGATGTATTCCAATAAACCTCCATTTCACATAAACGAATATTCCATACAATGGAATGTCATTCAGCCATATAAAGAATCGATTCATGATAAAAAGCACTGATTCATACTATAATGTGAATGAACCTCGAACACATTATGCTCAGTGAAATTTTTAAAAGCCAGACACAAAAAAATCACATAGTGCAGGATTCTGTTTATATGAAATATCTAGAACAGGCAAATTCATAGAGACAGAAAGCAGATCAGTGATTGCCAGGGGCTTGTGAGTAATGGAACGTGACTGCTTAATGGGCACAGGGCTTTATTTCAGGTTGATAAGAATGTTTTAGAACTAGATAGAAGTGGTGGTTGCACAACATTGTGAAGGTACTAAATGCCACAGAAGTGTACACTTTAAAATGGTTCATTTTATGTAAGGTGAATTTCATCTTGAGGAAAAAGAAAACCGTTCACAACACAGACAGCTGGTTCATAGGCTTTAGTTTGCTGACTCCTGCTATACAACAAAACCCAGAGCTGAATAAAAACACAGGCATATAAAATCTTAGCTCAAAGCCCTGCACACAGCAATTATTCTTATTACTATTACTATTATTAGGAACTTCATTACTATTATATTACTGCTACTATTATATTACTAACTCTGACCTTAGCCCCAAGCCTAGTCCTGCCCTAAGTTTCTTTTCCTCTGACCTCTGGCCCTGATTCCAGCTTCATTTCAGATCCAGGGCCCAGGGCTCTGCCTGTTTGTGTCATTGCTACTTCCATTAGGGCTGTTCCCACCCCTGAACAGTGACAACTTTCATGAGACCCCAAGACTTTCTGCAGCCTGGAGGGGCTTTGACCTACACTGGCAGGTGGACTTCATGAGGTGGGAGAAAATATGGGTGGGAGCGATTCATCCTTGGAACCCCAGCCTTTTTGCTTCCTCCTAGGCCCAGCCTAGACCAGGTGGCATTGATCAGGTGTGGGTGCCTGCACGATTGTGTATGTATGCGTGTGTGTTTCACAACCCAACCCCAAACTGGCCCCACATCCTCAACCAAGCCTTTCATGTACTCATCAGTCCCTCCCTGCCACCCATTTGGTCCCTTCTGGGCACTTCTGGGCAACCTATGAGGACTCAGCATCTCCTAGTCTCAGGGAGATAGAACTAGACAGAGAAACACCCAGCCCTGTATGAACATACCTGGGTTAAAGAAGGAGACTCCAGTCTAGGGAGCCAGGATGGGAAAAAAGGGAAGCCAGAGGTAATCAGGGAGGCTTCCTGGAGCAAGTGTCTTACCCTAGGAGGTCACAAACCCCTGACCGACCCTAAAGGAAATGCAGGCTGGTCATGACATTTCCCTGGCTCAAACTCAACCCACCCTCTGCCACCAACTCCAAGTTTTAAAAGGGAATCAGGGCTGCCTCTCTGGCTGGCCCATGAATTCCTGGGTGAAGTTGCTCTGCAGCCAGTCTGCAAACACTTCCCCAGGGTGAAAGGTCATAATTATATTGACCTTGTCTCAACTGCAGACTAGTGAAAACATGCACTGGACTTGGAGCCCTCCCAGTTCCTAGCTTGGTGACCTTGGACAGTTTACTTAACCTCTCTGAGCTTACCCTCCTGCTGGGTAAAATGGGCATAAGGTGGTTAAATAAAACCGCAGCCACAATCAGTGGGACAATCAGCGGGACAGGATCCATAACGCTGAATAAAAGTCATTCCCAGACCAGGTAGACATCAGGTGTGATCTCGCGTGACAGCCACCCCCACAGCATCTCAGGGCTCCCCTTTGGTCTATGCAGGCCCACTGGGGTCAGGGTGAGGGAAGTGAACACAGAGACAGGATCAGAATTCCTGAATTTTTCTTTCACCTCTGGCTCCAGTAGTCTTTGCACAGCATTGTTCCTGATCTTGTCTTTATCTAAAATGTTGATAAACACTTATCTAAAATGTTTGTTCATCATGGACTTTTTGCATTCACTTTGGTCTATTAAAATATTGCATTAAAATATTACTTATGTTGATGACTGAGATTTTTTGGCACCGCCTTAAATTTTGTGAGTGAGGAAGATGCTTCGCTCTCCTCATTCCAGTCCCTGCCCCAGATGAACACACAGACCACTTCCTACACTTGGTTCTACGGGGGAGAGCCCCATCCCAAAATCCTTGGAAAATGGGACTCAGAGGATATTTCCTCAGATTCCCCTGGGGAGTGGCCCCCATTTACTCTCCCCATGAGGACATTACTCCTGAGCCCCCCTGTGTACCCAGCTTTGTGCTGGGTGATGCTGAGTCCCCAGAAGGGAAGATACTGCATATCTGAGCAGGCCCTACCCTGGGGAATCCCAAGCCTGGCTCAGCCTGGGCATTCCCGGGCCTGCCCAGGGCCTGGCCTTTGCTGAGCGCCCAGCCTAGTGGGTCCCCCGGAAACTCCCCAGGCTAGTTTCGGGGTGGGAGGCCCACAGTGAAGCAATTTACACAGTAGCTCCAGTCACATTAAGCCCATCCCACTGGAAGCTCAAATAAAGGGGAAGCAGGCTCACTTCAGCAGGACTCAGACACAGCCCCGGGAGAAGAGAGAGGACGGACCCCTCACTGTCAACCCAGGTGAGCCAAGAAATCGGCTCCTGGGACAATCCCTGCTTTCAGCCACATATAGTGGCTTGGGATCAGGAGCTGGAAATGGATGAGAGAAGACATCTCCATAGTCCCCTGGGCTCACAGTGAGCCTTGGCAAAAATATTCCCCAGTCCCTGTACTCACGGTCTCTGCCTGAGCCTGAAGGGCAGGTAGCCGAGGCAGGAGGCAGTGCTAACTTCAGGCATGTCCTTCTCTCCCCTCCCCCAGCAAAGCCAGTCTTACCAGTTGGGCTGGCACTTGAGAGTCCCCTGTGGTGCCCAGCAACAGCTACTGAATGACCAAGAAAGGGGTAGGATGGGAGAGCCCCTGATACCCACATGTCCTTGACCCAGGGTACTCTGACCCCACGCCCCTGCTGCCTCCCACCCACAGCTCTGCAAGAGGCAGCCATGTCATTCACCCCTGGACTTTGACAGTGGCCAAAGGCACCACTCAGTTCTCCATGCCTGTCTCCTTCTAGCTCTGCCGAAGTCTCTGCTGAGGTCAACCAAATATGACCCTGCGAAGCTGGAATCCCACAACAGTAGTCCAGGGTATCCTCTGGATCCTGCTTGGATTTTTGCTGTGTCCGGAACCAGGGACAGGTAGGTCAGAAGGTAGATCCCTGTGGCAAGAACAATCAATTCTGAAGAAGTGTACTGCTGTTCCCTCTATGTCCAGCCCTGTACAGGGTAAGACTGGAGTCCCCAGGAGACCCCGGTCTCGAGGAACCTCCAGTCTGGGGACACAGATGCTCCCAGCCCTACCAGGTCAAGGCAGGGGTTGGGGACAGGCCTGGTGCCAGAAGAGCAAAAATCAGGAAGGATTCCTGCAGGAGGGGACACAGATCTAGGACAGGAAGGAGAAGAATTTTAGTTGGGGAGAAGCAGGAAAGGGCATTTTAGGCAGAGAGAAGAACAGAGTAATTACAGTGTGGACGGTTTGGAGAAGAACCCTAATTCCTGGGTTCATAATTGTGCCTCTGCCACTTCCTATCTGTGTGAGCTTAGGCAGGTCATTTAACCTCTCTGTGCTCATAGAGTCATTGTAAAGATTAAATTTGTTAAGTTATGTAAGTCACCTAGAATGGTGGCTGGTACATAATAAATGTTTAATAAATGTTAGCTATTATTCAACATCCCACCCCAGCCCTGAGCCCAGCATTTCTGGGTTCCAGGTTCAGCTGCTGACTTTTCCCCCACAAGACACAGGCCCATCCTCTCCTACACTGAGCATCCTCCAGACACCTAGCCCTTTAAAATCTCCCAAAGTCCAATCTATCACCAAAAACTGTCCATCTTTCCCTCAAAATACCTGGGGACTCTTCCCATTTTGTCCATCACACTGCCATCGCCCTAGCTTTGGCAATCTTTATTGCTCACCTCCACACCGTTTCCCCTTCTCTCCTCTAGCCAATTCATTCTCCACCGGCAGCCAAAGGGGCAATCTTAGAATGCTAGCCTGAGTGCATCTCGCTCCTGCTCATGAACCTGCCATGGCTTCCCGATGCTCACAGATTCTCTAAGCTCATTAACCTGTTATCTGTGCCTTAGTTTCATCATTTACATGAGGATGGTGTTGGGGGGTCACAGGGTTGTCATATAGAGAGCAGAGGGCGTTGAGAAGATGTGGAAGCAGGAAGCTCAGGAACAGGGGGTGCTGGGCTGCTGGGCTAACGCCATCCCTCCTCCTGCAGCATCCCTGCCCCTCCTCATGGACTCTGTCATTCAGGCTCTGGCTGAGCTGGAGCAGAAGGTGCCGGTTACCAAGGCCAGCCACACTGTCTCTGTGTGGGATCTGTCAGCCCAGGACTCTGATCCCCATGATCCCCTCCATCACTTCCTACTAGAGGGACGAAGTCTCGCATTCACCAAGTTGGATCCTTCCACACTGAGTCCAGAGCTGCGAGGCCTGACTAAGGAGGTGGCCCGACACGGTGTGCAGGGCAGGCAGGAATACGGGGTTGTGCTGGCACCCGATGGCTCGACGTTGGCTGTGGAGCCTCTTCTGGAAGGGCTGGAAGCTGGGCTGCAGCGGCACAGGATCATAAACTTGCCCTTGGGCATCCCAACCACCCCTCCAGGGGCCGGAGACACCTTTCCAGATGTTGGGGTGGTGGTTCCTGATGTAAGAGTCACCTTCCCAGGACTCAGGGATGCCTCTCCAAATGTCAGCTCTGCAGATGTCGAAGCTATGTCTCCAAATGTTAGAGTCACAGATCTCAATGTAGAAGCCAGCTTTAAAGATGTCCTAGCCCCCTCCCCAGATGTCCAAGTTACCTCTCCAGATGACCAAACCTCCGCTCCAGATGCGAAAGCAAAGTCCCCAACCACTGTGGACAGCCTCCTGGTGGTCACCTTGGCCAGAAACCTGGGTCTGGCCTTCCTCCAGGGTCCCCAGACCCAGAGCTACCCAGGCCTGGGAGCTGAGGGCTGCTGGGACCAGGTCTCTGTCCCCAGGAACTTCACACTCCTGGACCCTGAGGCATCACCACTTACCACTGCCTTCCTCAATGGTGCTCTGGATGGGATCCTTCTTGGGGACTACCTGAGTCGAGTCCCTGAGCCCCGGCCACCCCTCAGCCACCTCCTGAGACAGTACTATGGAGATGGGGTGGCTGGAGACCCAGGATTTCGCAGCAACTTCCGCCGGCAAAACGGAGCTGCTCTGACTTCAGCCCCTGATCTGACCCAGCAGGTGTGGGGCACCCTCATCCTGCTACAAAGGCTGGAACCAGCACACCCTCAGCTGCAGGGCATGAGCCAAGAACAGCTGGCACAGGTGGCCACCCGTGCCTCCAAGGAGTTCACTGAAGCCTTCCTGGGTGAGAAGGGCCCCCAATCCCTGTGACCCTCCCTCTCAGACACAGACCACTGTCAGCCCCATGTGGTTAGGGGGATTCCAGAGGGAGCAATAAGGCTCTGGTTGGGGAGCCAGGGCAGCTGTACAGGTGAGGAAAAGCTATATTTGAGTCTTGAAGGATGAATAGGAGCTCATCAGACAGCAAAAAAAAATTTTTTAAGTGAGAAAGAAGGCATTACAGGAGATGGGCTCAGCACATGCAAAGACTCAGAGATTGGAATGGAAGTTCAGCCAGTTACTCATGTGAATCTTTCAGTGAGTTGCTTCACTTCTCTGAACCTCACTTTCTTCAGTGAAGCAGGGTAAATCTACCTCTCGGATTTACTGGATGGTTTGAGAAAGATGGAATCATGTAAAGCAAGTAGCACACAACTGGAGTGTAATAAATGCGGGCCAAGATTCCTCTTTTCAGTGTGGCTGTCTCTCCTAGGCTCAGAGCAGGGCCAGCTGCAGAGTGTTGTAAAGATCCTGGGTTGAAAAGATCCTTGAAGTCTGAACTACAGTTCTTGGGGTGTATCGTGAAAGGGGCGGGAGTCATAGTCGATATTCCGATAGAACAGAGATGCTGTTGGATTAGTTAAGGTAGATTCCAAAGGAGGCCAGTGTGGTGTGAGACTGAACTGTCCTCAAATCTGGAAGGAGGCTGAGGGAGTGGCCCACAGGTGCGCTCTAATGGAGGTGCAGGCGGCAGGAAGAGAAACGCCGGCTGACCCCAGCCCTGGACGCCCTTCCCCGCAGGGTGCCCGGCCATCCACCCCCGATGCCGCTGGGGTGCGGCCCCGTACCGGGGCAGCCCGACGCCGCTGAGGCTGCCGCTCGGTTTCTTGTATGTGCATCACACATACGTGCCGGCGCCTCCCTGCACCACCTTCGCGCGCTGCGCTCACAACATGCGCTCCATGCAGCGCTTCCACCAGGGAACGCACGGCTGGGACGACATCGGCTACAGGTAGGCGGGGCCTGCGAGGGGCGGGATCTAGTCCTCTGCGGAACCTAGGTGGGCGGAGCCTAGCGCAGGGGGCGGGTTGGACCAGGGCAAACCCGAAGAAATGGAGGCGTGGGTGGGCGGGGTCACGGTGGAGAGAGGCGTGGCCTATACGGGGGTGGGGCCTTTGCGGCGGGGCCCACGCGGTACCCTTGGATATGGGTGGGACAAGGAAAGGAGGCGGGGCCTGGGGGAAGGGCAGGACCCGCGGTAAGCGCTGGGGCTGGAACTGAGGCAGAGTAGTGATGGGGTTGGGCCTAAGACGGAGCTGGGCTGTGAATTGGGCTGGAGCTAGACTTCAGACAATGGGAGGGGGCTGGACAGAAAGGGGCGAGGCCATGTCAGAGAAACTGGAGGGTTACTGGAGCGACACTTGGTAGAGGAGGGGGACGAGGCTGGGCCAGGCACAGTGCAATCAGGCTGCACTTGGCACAGATATGGGGCAGGGCAACCCTGACGCCGCACGTGCCTGCCCCCCTCTCCTCCGCAGTTTCGTGGTGGGCTCAGACGGCTACGTGTACGAGGGTCGCGGCTGGCACTGGGTGGGCGCGCATACACGAGGCCACAATTCCCGCGGCTTCGGCGTGGCCTTCGTGGGCAACTACACCGCGGAGCTGCCTGCTGAGGCCGCGCTGCGCACGGTGCGCGACGTGCTCCCCAGGTGCGCGATGCGCGCTGGCCTCCTGCGGCCAGACTACAAGCTGCTCGGCCACCGCCAGGTCGTGCGTACGGACTGCCCGGGCGACGCGCTCTTCCACCAGCTGCGCACCTGGCCGCACTTCGACGAGGTGAATCCGCGACGTCAGCACAACCTTCGCCTGCGACCGTTCTGACACAAGCTCAACCCCTGACCCCTGACCCCTGACCCCTGCCTGTCAGCCCAACTTCAGCAGGCCCCTCCCTTTCCTGTAACCCCTATACCCGCACAGCCTCAGCCAGGCCCCTGGTCTCCCTTGCAGCCCTTCTATTTGTGCAACCTAGTCCCAGCCTTTAAGTTGTTATGCTCACAACATTTCCTACCCCTGTCCTCTGCCTGTACAACCTTAGCCTAGCCTCTGACCTAGCCAGCTTGCTGTTTGCCCATCCTCCAATACCTCTGCCCTCCCAACCAGGCCATGGACCTTGATTCCTGCAGCATCTCCTCTGCCCTCACAACTTCAGCCTGGCCTGCATCACCTCTAGCCAAGTCACAATGCTTCTGCCTGCACAACCTCATCCCAGTCCACATAACCTTGGCCTCACCCCTGCCGCCTATCCAAAAGATCTCTGTATACACAACAGTAACCTAGCCAGTGTCCTTCTACAGAAAACCCCTTTGCCTGCACATCCTCTGCCCAGCTCCTTACCATATGTTGCAGTCTTCTGCCCAATCTCAGTCCTGAGGATGCTTGCTCAGCTCCAGCCTCCCTGACCCTTGATGACAATCCTTATGCTGCAGCAATCTAGGCCCAACCAGTACACCCTTTTCCCAGCCCCTGACCTCGATTTCCAAACATGTCTACTCACACACCTGCGCAATCTTGTGCTACCTACATGCTTCCATTCTATTGCATCAAGCTGGCCTGCAGTCCGCGTTGTACCCACCCCCTCTCTTCCTTGTGCAGAGAGTCCCACCATGAGGAAAGGAGACCCAGCCTCACCCCAACCCCCAAGCCTCACAGTCTCTTGTCTTTTCTAGACTGTAAAGTCAAGAACTGCCAGGAGGGCCTCCAGGAGATCCAAGAGGAAGCCACCTCCAGTGACCCTGCCAGCCACAGACCTCCAATAAAGAGATTCTGTGTCTATGCAACATTGGTGTTTGCACATGTCGTCTTAGTTTGGGTTTGCCCAGAATTAGACCCTGAGACAAGAATTCCAGTGCAAGTAGTTTGGGAGGTGATCCCAGGACATATCATTTGGGGTACAAAGAAGAGAGGTAGGAAAGGGAAGGCATCCCAGAGAGGGTGCTTTATCAAGCAAGTTGGCACTGAGGACACACATGGAGCTCAATCCCGCTGGGGACCTCTGGAGGACAGTGTAGAACACGCATCTCAAAGTCATCCCACCCACCCACTGAGGGAAATGGGGTATTTGATTATCCAACTTCCATAGTCATTGGCTGAGGGCTGCTCTCAGGGAGGTGCTAATTCTCTGGAACTTTTGGGCTGCTTGTTGCATGGGCTCCATCTGTCAGATAAAGTCCTCCAGCAAAAAAATGCAGGGAACTGGGAGTGGAGCCAGTATGCAGTGAGGTGATAAACACTCAGGGATACAGCAGAGCACAGGAAGACTCCACGTGTGTGCTGTGAGTGGCAGTGAGTGCAGTGAGTATGAATAAGATGGGCATATCTACGGTATGTACACCTGCCTGGACACATCCAGCTCCAGAAGGGTCTTTGGCCCTCACTGAACACCCTCCTTCTCAGGATGGGTTATAGAATTTGTGAGGCTCAGCACAAATTAAAATGCAGGGTCCCTTGTTCAAAAAGCAAGAACTTCAAGACAGCAAGAACAGAGCATTAAATCAAATGTAGTGTGGAGCCCTTCTGAGTGTGGGGTCCTGGGTGACTGCACAGGCCACACCCATCAAGGTGATCTTACCCACCCAACCCCCTGGATTCTGGTCTCCCTTGCCTTTTCAAAAACTGTTCCTTCTACCCAGCATGCTCTTCCCATGGCCAGCATCTTCTCATGCTTCAGGTTGCAAATGTCACCTCCTTATGGACGTCTTCCTGGATTTTTCCAACTCAAAGAGCATAACTTCTGCTTGGTCTTTACTCCAGTCTGTCTATTTTCTCCTAAGCCCTCCTCACCAGGTAGAAATGTGCTGCATTTGTGTTCAGGATCTGTTTCCCTCACTAAACTGTGAGCTCCAGGAGGGCAGGAATCATGTTTGTTTAGCTCTCCATGGCTTCTCTGGCATCTAGCATGTAGTAGGCCCTCAGGAAACATTTTTTAATAAAAGAAGGCTCCTGTCCTAGCCAGTTTGGTTAGAGCATCAGCCTGTGGACTGAAGAGTCCCAGGTTCGATTCCAGCAAAGGCATGTACCTCGGTTGCAGGCTCAATCCCCAGCCAGGGTCAGAGTGCATTCAGGAGGTAACTGTCTCTCTCATATAGATCTCTCTCTCTTCTCTCTCTTCCACTCTCTCTCTCTCTCCCTTCCACTCTTTCTGAAAAAAATGAAAAAAATATCCTTGGGTGAGGATTAAAAAAAAATAGAAAAAATAAAAGAAGGCTCCTATAATAAACCTTCTGAAACTGATATTATCATTGTGTTGTACAAATATGGAAACCAAGGCTCAGAGAGAGGAAGTGACTTGCCTGAGGTCACACAGTGAGAGAAGGACCAGCTGGCACTGGAAGCCACTCTTGCCTGGGCCAGGATTCTACTGACTGTCATGTTGACTCATTTATTCCTCACAATAGTATTTGCCCACCTCTTTTTTCAAGAAAACATTTATTAGGAAAGTGCATCAATTAATTTTCACAACTGAACACATCCACGTAACTAGGACCCAGCTCAAGAAATAGACATGTTTGCCCGGCCAGAGTGGTTCAGTTGGTTGAGTGTCATCCTGTGCACCAAAGGACTGCCAGTTCGATTCCTGGTCAGGGCACATGCCTGGGTTGCAGGTTCAATCCCAGTCAGGAACATGAAGAAGGCAGCTGATTGATGTTTCTCTCTCACATCAATCTCTCTCTCTCCCTTCCTCTCTCTAAGCATGTCCTCAGGCAAGGATTAAAAAAAAAAAAAGACATGTTAAATTTATGTTATGTGACTTTCACCTCAATTTTAAAAGCAGAAACCAAAACCATGATCAGTTCCCAGAAGCCTCCCTCATGCCCACCCTCACTAGCCCCTCCAAAGGAAACTGACATCCTGACTTGCTGCACGTAATTTTGCTTGCTTTGAAACTTTATATAAATGGAATAATACAGTCTTCTCTTTTTTCTTTTTACTTATTTATTTATTTTCTTGCTCAGCATTGTCTGAGATTCATCTGAGTTCAGTCATTCGGTAGTTTGTTCATTTTCATTGCTGCATGTCATTCCACTGTGGAAACAGACCACAATTTACTCATTTTAGGGTATACGTACACTTGGGTTGTTGCCAGTTTGGGGCTATTATAAATAGTGCCAGTGGGCATTTCTATTGGGTGAACCACTGGGTCAGAGGAGAGGTGCATGATCAATGTTTCTTGATCAGGCCAAATAGTTTTCCAACTTGGGTGAATCGATTTACGCTCTAACCAGCAGTGGATGACAGTTCCAGGGCCTCCATGTTCTCATGAGCATTTGGGCAACGTGTACCCATTTTTCAGAGAAGGCAGCTGAGGTTCAGAGAGGGGCATATGCTGCCTTCTGGTTAGTGAGAGATTCTGGTTCCTGCTCTGTCACCACCTCTCCTCCTCCATCCTGCCCCCACTGTGCCCTCCCAACCTGGCTGTGGGGTAGGGTGAGACAGGCAGGGTCACGTGGAGAAGTGATCAGCAGGAGGAAGCCAGGCAGAGTGCAGACGGCTGTTGCCTCGGGCTGATCAGGAAATCAAGGTAAGGGAAGGAGTGCGTGTGGCCACCGAGGGGATTTTGTAGGGGCAGAGCTGAAAGTGGGGAGGGGGCCGAGATGAAGGCAGCATGTGGGCAGACAAGAGACAGAACTGTCACCCCCTTGTCCCCCAGGAGAATCCCCACTATGGACCCACTATCAACAAGCCAGCCCTCCGAAGAAACCCAGCCTGCAGCCGGATCCCCGCTAACCTCCTACCGCTGGCACACAGGAGGTGGTGGGGAGAAGGGATCTGGAGGGTTCCACTGGGGCCGCCTTGCCAGCTGGGGGAGGGCACTGAGCCACCAGGAGCCCATGGTCAGCAGCCAACCAGCCCGTCGCTCCCTGTTCCGTCGCGTCCTCTCTGCGCCTCCCAAGGAGTCACGCACGAACCACCACAGAACGTCCAAGACCCTCTGGCGGAGGCATAAGAGCCCACCGCTGGAACCAGATCCAGAGCTAGCGGCCTCAGGTACATGGCTCCCCCACTCAGAGCTTAGGCTGGGCTGGGAGGCCGGATGCTTGGGTTCTGTCTGCCTCCAGAGCATCAGCCATACAGACACAGGAAGTTGTGGGGAGTGCAAAAGCCCAACAGGAAGTGGCTGGGGCCCAGTTGCCCTCTTCCCTCTTTGCCCCTTACCCAGGGCCTGGGGGTGTGGGGTGTGGCCAAGGAGCTGTGGGCAAGGGGGTCCAGACTGGGGAAGAGACAGGGAATAGACTAATGATAGCACTATCCAGATGCCAAATGGCCCTTGGCCCCAACTGGTCTCTTCTCATATCCAATGGCCCAGTCTCATCCTCTCCTGCCTGGATATCCATCTCAGGCTCCTCCTGCTCTCCTGCCCTCCAGCTTCCATGTTTTAGGTTCTTCACTTCCTTGGGCCTCAGGTTCCCCATCAATTAAATGGGAATCATGATCCCTACTTTAAGGGGTATATGATTTCATTCATTCATTCATTTATTCATTCATTCAAGCAAAAATCTGTTGAGCATTGACTATGTGTCAGGCCCTGATTTAGGCACTGAGGACACAGCAGTGAACAAAAGAGATGTCACTGGCTGCCCCGTGAGGCTCATGGGGTGGTGGGCATGAAAGATAATAAATGAGTATAAACAAGAAAATGACAGATGGGGCTCAGTGTTGCACAGAGGGATCTAGAAGGATGTCATGAGGTTTGGAGCTCCAGAGCATAAAGCACTAGCATATTTTAAGTGGTCCATTAACAGTGGGAGTTATTGTTTCTTCCCCTAGTGGTAAAACAATAGGACAGACAGGTAACCTGGGAAGGTTAGTTCAGCTCTCCTATTCCTGGAAGCTCATTTAATTCTTACCATTCATATTCTCATTTGGCAAAAGCATCCCTTCAACCCCCTTCCAGAGTATCAGGTATTGCCCACTCCATAGTATCCAGAGAGAGCTCTCTAACAAGCAGGCCAGATCCTCGCATTCTCAAACATTCCCGTGGCTCCCCACTACCCCCAGGATAAAACTCCCTCTAACTGGCACCCAAGGTCCTGAACTAATCTCTTTCTGGACCTTCTCTTCTAGCCTCTGAGCCCTTCGAAACTTTTGCCCTTCCCTTTATTTCCTTGGGCTTTGCTGTCTCTCAGCCTTTGGTCAAACTGTTCCTGCCATTATCCCTTTCATCTCTGTCAAAATCCAACCTGCCGTTCAAGCCCTAGCACAAACTTATACTCTCTGGGAGGCTTTCCCTGGCCTGCTGCACTACCACCACCTCTATCCTGACATTTTTCTGTTCCTTTCTCAAACTTTGAATATAGTCCACCTTAGACTAGTTATTTATGTAAGGAATCAAGGCTGTTGTCTGTTGTTTAACTTCTTGGACCTACCCACTGTCTTGGTTAAGAGAAGAATGCTTGTGTCTGAGGCCCAGCTCAATCACTCACAAACTGTGTGAACCTGGGCAAGTCACTCAATCTCTCTAGGTTTCAGTTTCCTCCTTGGTAAAATGGGGGTTATAATAGCCCTTTTAATGACTTTGGAGGATTATATGAGAGAATGTGTGTGGAGCAGTAAACACAGTACAGGTCACATAGTAGGTGGGTTGAGTCCACTACCTAAGGCCAGTGGGGACAAGACCTAGAGAGGGGCCTATCTCAGCAATTACCTGACATGACTGCCTTGGGGGAGTGAGAGGAGGCAATTAGGAGGGAACTCCAGTGAGACTTGGTGAATGGAAAGGGTGGTCTGAGGTTCAGGAAGAACTCCCAGGTTCCCAGCACCTCCTCCTCTACCCAGAACTTGAGCCAGAGCCGGAGCCCCCTACCCTACAGATCCCTGAGGCCCCCACACCCGATGTGCCAGTCTGGAACATTGAAGCCTTCACTCTGCTCGATGGGAGGCTGGTGCTGCTTGGGGGTGAGGAAGAGGTGAGAGAGGGCCTATGGACAAGGGGAAGAAAGGAGGGGAAGGGAGGGGGGATTATGGAAAGGTGTCTGCCTCTCCCTCGGTCTGTCTGCCTGCCTTCCCTCTCTGACTACCCACTCCTGTGGAGGAGCAGGGTCCTCGCCAGTCCCGCGTAGGGAGCGCTAGCTCTGAGAGCAGCATCCAGGTGGCCATGGGGAACCTTAGGGATCCAGGTAAGTAAGCATGAGAGGTGAGAAGGGCTGGGGCACTTGGGAGCCTGTTAAGGTGGGGCAGAATCCAAGATGATCCAGTCTCCCAACCTTCCACCCCTGAACACCCACAGACCGAATCCCTGGAAAGACTGAACCAGAAGCTGCTGGCCCCAACCAGGTCCACAACGTTCGGGTGAGGCATCCAGTGGGGGGTGGAGGGGAGAGAAAACGCTTCCAGACCCTCAGAGGTGAACAGGGACTCTTACTGGGTGATTCTGGGCACCACTGTCTGGGCACCAGAACCTCTCTGGGCCTCAGTGTCTCTGTCAAATGGAGCTAATGGGAGAACCTCCCTCTCTGGGCTGTGTATGAGAAATCAATAGAGAATGCAGGAAAGCATACAATTGGTGTCTTAGAAATTGGAGCTCTTGGTTGCTTTTATTATTCTTGGTAATACAGCCTGAGGTTCTGGTCCCCCCAAGACTAACAGATCCTCCAGGACACCCTGAGGGAAAAGGAGCTGAGGAGGGAACCCAGAGTTCTCCCCAACTTACATCCCTCTCCCCATAGGGGTTGCTCAAGCGGCTGAAAGAAAAGAAAAGGGCCAGGTCAGAGCTGGGAGCCAATGCATCTCGGGATGGGTAAGAGTTTCTGAGGGGCTAGAGGGGCTGGGATTCAACATTGTCCCCTCCCCGTCATCCTGCCTATCATTCTGACCTTCACCACATGCCCCCCAAAGCCCCTCTATGTCCTGCCCTGTGTTGGGCCATGCTGGGGTCACTGAAAGACCCTAACATGGAGCCAATCCCCCATGGAAGAGTGGGAGCAGAGTCTGAAACAATAACTCTAGAACAGGAGCTAAATCAAAAACCTGGTCTGAGAGTGTCAGGGAAGAGAACTGAGCAGAGATCTGAAGGATGGGTGGAAATGAACTAGGCCAAGAAGGGCAGGGACAGCATTCCAGGCAGAGGGAACAGCATGTGCAAAGGCCAAGAGGTCTGACAAAGACACAAAAACAAGGCCAGGGTGACCAGAGTTCAGACAGTGAGGGATTAAGCCAAGGGAAGTGAGGTCAAATGGTGACAAGGGCTCTACTATGCAAGGTCATAGAGGCCACCATGAGAAGTGAGGTTGATCCTAAAAGTGATGGATTCGAGTCCAACTTAGGTTCAAGTCCATCCTGTCCTCCCTCCACCCTTCAGGCTGTAGGGGATGGTGAGGAGAGAAGATAGAAATGACGCTTTTCCCTTGTCCCCTCTTTAGACCCCCCAGTGCTCTGGGCTCTCGGGAATCGCTGACCACACTCTCTGAGCTGGACCTGGGCGCCCAGCGGGATGTGCGGGTCTGGCCATTGCACCCCAGCCTCCTGGAGGAGCCCCACTGCTTCCAGGTAAGTGTAGGCAACTCTTCACGTCATCCCGACCCTTTGGCTCCACGCTCAGTCTCCACCGCAACCTGGAATACCCCTCCGTAACAGGTAACGTGGGTAGGCGGAAGCCGCTGCTTCTCCTGTCGCTCGGCTGCTGAGAGAGATCGCTGGATCGAGGACCTTCGGCGCCACTTCCAGCCCAGTCAGGTCAGTACTGCGGAAAGTGGGAGAATGGAGGCCCCGCCCACAGCCCGGGCCCCACCCCTTTCACCACCCGGCTCCTTAGACACTCCTGCCGGTCCACACTTGTGCAGTCACTCCGAGACCCTCCTCATCTAGTACCAGTCCCTAGCACAACGCCCCCGGTCCCATTCTTTTCAATCTGGACCCTATTTGCACCCAAAGCCCCGCCTACAAGGTAGTGGCCAAGTCCTCACAGCACGGCTGCTCCTCCCTACCCTCTAGAGCCGACCTATCCCGGACAACACAGAACAGCTAGAGGGCTTCTGCGTAGCCACCTTGGGACCCCTGTGGTCCCACTGTCGTCCTCCAGGGGCTCAGCGACCTCCCTGGGGACATGGGCCCCGCATTTCACCTCTGGTGCCCACCATCGAGCCCCCACTCCTCTCCCCACCACTCTGGTCCGCAGGACAACAGGGAACGCGAAGAGACGTGGCTGAGCGTGTGGGTGCACGAAGTGAAGGGACTGCCCCGGGCAGCGGCGGGGGCGCCGGGAGTGCGCGTTGAGCTGTGGCTGGACGGCGCGCTACTGGCGCGCAC